CTCACAAAACGCAGATTTCCTTTACTTCGTCAGACAATCTTTCGCTTTCCAGAAGCCTGTGTCGGGGGTCACGCATTTGTCGTGTGCACTCGGTGACCACGGAAATTGACCGAGTCAAGTGCTGGATTAGTACGGAGAGATTGAGACAGAAGGAGGAACTGGATAGAGAGACCGGGATGGTTTTTAATGTGAAGACCACAACAACAACAACAACAACAACTCGGACGAGTTCTCGAGACAGGCATTTTGCTTCCACTTAGATGGTCTGCTCGTGGCATGACAAGCTGGGTTTTTATGCCGTTTCACCTTTGTTGCTTGTTTTTCGCTCTAGTCTGCGTTCCGCGCACCCCTTTATTTGCTTGGCACCGAAACTTGCATTTTGGCCGCTCGGGATGTGGTGCAAGTCGAGACAAGTCTCTCCTCTTTGCAGCATACCTTCGACCATTGTGCAGAGTTAGCCACGAAGGGTGGCTAGTATCATCGTTCAAGCATGATGATCTGCAGCATAAGACCCGTGGGGACCTTTGATGCTGTTCACAGCTGGGTTGAAGTAGTTTTTTTTTTATTTTTCTTAATATGACACAACGAGTCCATCTCTATCATAGAAAAGAGTCAGAGACAGATTAACAATGAAATCATAGCGTCAGAGAAAACTACCTGTGTGTCTACGATTTCCCAGACAGCATATAGGGACATCTCCCCTGGGGTAACAGGCTCAACAAATCAGTTTGGTAGCTGTCTTGTGTGTCTCATATATGTTATGTTGGGAAGGTGCAGACGAAAGGTGTTAGGTACTGTTGGGTAGTCGGGCGTTTTGTGTGTCGCACCCTATTAGTTCTAACACATGCAATCTCCATCAGTTTACAAACATATTCTCAGTTTGGTATGCATATGTGCGGAGTATGTGCGGCTGATGTGCCATCTCCATCATAGAAAAGAGTCAGAGACAGATTAACAATGGAATCATAGGGTCAGAGAAAACTACCTGTATGTCTACGATTTCCTAGACAGCATATAGGGACAACTCTCGGGTGACAGGCTCAAAAGATCAGTTTGGTAGCTGTCTTGTGTGTCTCATTATGTTATGTTGTGGAATTTCATGTCGTTAAATGTGAGAAGGGCACGGGAGAACATTTCTCATCATTGCCTCCTGATGACGTGGTCGCCGATAGACGCGTGTGGTTGATGAGGTTTCATAACCGACATGTGGGTGTGTGTTAAATGCAGTGGGTGTGTTCACCTCTCTCGTCCGTGTGTAGGTAGGAGGTATGGCTACCTCTCCCATTTGTAGGCAGCGTGGACCATACTTGTAAATATAGTCTAGACAGAGTTCATCATTTCATGCATGTTGCATCATTTGTGTTTGACAAGGGAGGAATGAGAGGTTGTGCGTATGGGTACGGGGGTACTCCCTGTGTCCGTGTTGTTCCCAGATGTTGCCGCATCAAGTGGCAGCATGTGTCATGGACAGGTAGACGTGGAAGGACGGCGACAGGTGAACGGCAGCAGTAGTATGTTGTGCATGGTGGCATGTTGGGCTTGTGCAGAGGCGCAGTCCATCTTCGACCACACACAAAAAAGTTTGCTCGTACCTGTGGGGATTTTTCGAAGTCCTGGGTCAGCCAAGAGCAGCAGCAAGGAGCAAACGCAGTGCAGTATACTCTACAGCTTTACAGTCCGTCCTCCTCAAGTCCTATCGGAGATGAATAGTATCGCACAACGGCTGGATCCGAAATGCCGGCTAGCTCCGCAATCCAAGAGAGGTGGGTGGCTGAGCTAAAACCGGAATGACTGCATGCGTGCTCCTCTCAGCGACATCGCTGGCTGGCTCTTTGAAGTGCAGATTTCTGGTTCAGCGGAATTTGATTCCCAATTCTTCGTTGTCACCTGGGTGTATGGGAATTTTTGAGAAAGGTGTACAGAAATTGATTATCCTAATTGCAAGGGACACGTTTCATTTTCAGTGTTCCCCCTTGCGGTTTCGACGGTTAAATATGCGGTTACCCACAGATTTTCGCATCGCTATAAGCTATCAGGTTCCTACAAAAGTATGCGTGTACAATTTTGGTAGCGCTAGAAGCAATTTGAACATGATTTTTATGTCATTATTTATATACAGGCGTTCTTATTTTGCACATAGACATGTAACGATATTTGAACATAACACAACAACACTACTCCAGGAATTGCTCAACAAAGAAACGGGACACTAACCAATAAAGGAAAAGATAATCGCACGCAGGCTAATCTACCAAAAATTCATTCGTATCTACTCGATTCCAAATACCCAACTCCACTTTCTTCCAGTATGAATTACGCACCATAGGTGCATTTACACCCACGATGTTTGCAGTCACTGGCGAGGTACGAAAAAAGGTATACATGAAATTGTGTAAAGTATTACGTATAAGTCGACTAGAATAGAAACGTGCAAGCATGTCAGCTATCAATCTGGCTGTGGCAGCTTGGAAAAATCGAATGTCAGTACATCTAATAGCAAATCGGCACATTTGACAGTGTAACGTCGACATCTTACACCTAGTAGATAACACTGTTTCCCAATGTGGGAATGCCCGATATTGCTTCAGCGTAGCCATATGTTGGCGCTTATTATACATACCGATACAAGTCTTACCAGGAATGTCTTGCCCTATTTGCATATCCAGAAAGTGTGCTGATTCCCCACACTGTTCTTGGGTAACGCGAACGGGGTTGTCTATCTCATCACCATTCGAATCTAACACCATCGTTGGGTACATACCACCATATTGATTACCCTCCTTATATATAATATCTTCAAATGTTGGTCCAGTCTGGTTACCATATCGCACCGTAAAAATGTCATCTATATACCGTTTTGTACCAATGCTGTACTGCTCAATAAATTCAAATGGATACAACGATGTAGTCCCAGCGTGTGTAGCAGTTAAATACTCATCCACCATTTCCTTCAAAAAATCGAATTCATGCATAAACGCAAAAATATTCGCTAGTTCGGGAGCTGGTGCCGTTCCCATAAAGATACCAGAGGCTTGTTGGTACATGCCGTTACCAAATTGTACAAATCCTTCATCCAAAATAAAATCTATCCATTTACAGACCCGTTCCCATCCAATGTAATTCGTTCGACTTCTGCTAGATGTTACGTTGCTCGGGTTTTCCTTCGACCACTCGATGTCTCTAACAAATGGTGTCTTATTATCAGGCCCAATACCCCATCTCAACTTCATCGACTTAAACCCATGTCTCTCAGCTTGGTGTTCAAACGACAATTTCAAAGCTTCCCTCAATTTTTCCTTCAATGGTACTACAGGGATATTAGGGTACATACCAACGAAGTCAAATGTTTGGAAGACATGCGCATCAGTACATCCCTCCATTTGTGCTCGAATATCGATATCCTGTGCTACTTCTAGAAGACTTTCCCCGCTAGAGGTAATCCAACATTCCTTGGCAGCAATACCAACTTTTGCGCATTCTTCACGCCAGATCGTGTGTAAACAAGGCCGGATACCAACCAGGACTGCGTTGACTACCTTGGCCACCCCTTCTGTGATCGTACCACAACAAGCCGTAATTCCACGTGTCGCTACCAACGGCTTATGTAGTTTAGCAGTGAGGTATCGTGTGGGTAACTTCTCAGTGTTTTCATACTGAGTGTCACCATCCTCGTCTTTGTACTGCTGCTGTGGGATGGGCAACTTTTCATCTAGCAAAAACTTGTGTTGTCGGTCAATGGTCGTCTGTTTCACCAGCTCCAACTCTCCGTGTACTGTCCTATACCACGGTCCTTCAAGTTCTGCTTTGGCTAGCCTAATATAGCACGCCTTGCAAGTGATACAGATGCAGTTGGCCGCTTTGTCGACTCTCGTAAACACCACCTTCTTGTGCAATTGTTGAAAAGATGTCCTAGCTGCAGCAAAATCTATGTGGCCCGTAAGAGGCTTAGCATCCTCCCTCTTGTCCGCGTCAGTCACTTTTTGTTCTATCGCGTCGTACAAAATATCCTCCCATTCCTCAATGTCATCGCGTGGCACTTTGAGTTCATGACATAAATCGCCAATGTAAGATTCTATGGCGTCTATGAGCGATTCAAAGAAAGAGAGGTCATTCAAGGCTTCAGCATATTCTGCTCTAAAACCAGCTTGTAGGTTTAGCACAGCTGCAGCATTGTCATCCTGAAGACATCCGGCATCTGTGGTAATCAAACATTTGGAACCATCCTTGGCAACAACCGTGTACTGACTCCATTGGTGGTCCTGGACGCGCTACTGCTGTTGTGTGCGTACACATTCGTCACTCTTTTCTCATCATCGTCCGCTTGTGAACTCCCCGTTCATGTCCCGTAAACGAACCGCAGAGGCAGCCTAAAGGAGGAGCCAGGGCGCGTAGTGCACTCAAGAACGACAGTGTCCAGCACCACCGCAAGCTCATCGCGCCTGGGAAACGAGCGCCCGATTAGGTGAGAATCCGGAGACCCCAACCAAGACTGGGGACGTAACCGGATACTCAAAGGGTGGTTCTTATGTAACGCTTTGGAAAAGTAGTGAAATTTTCCAGGGAACGGTGACAAGGAACCCCGACTTTTGCCCGCTTGTTCTATTCGTAATGTCATCGCGAAAAGCACGTTTCCTTCCCTGAATACACGCGTTGCTCGGCACAGAACAGGTTGACTTGGTGTAGCTCACCATACAGCAGCGGTAAAAGCGCAATGAGCAGCACCCGACACAGAGGACAACACATTTAGAAAGATCCTGTCCACCCGGCCTGCTGTTTTCAGTTTTCAGCAACAACAGGCGCAGGGAGGGCAGAGTTTTGTTTTGTTTGTTTTTCTCCCATCATTGGACTCTGTCGTCTGCCCCTCTGGCCCCTATCCTCCACTTCTACTAGCTAGACGACCCAACCGGGGTCACATAGGAGGGGGGGGTTGGACCCCCTCCTGCGGTTCATGCCTGAGGTATTTTTATCGCGAGAAGGGTACAGCAATCCCTTCCCTCGCGACTTACGAAGTCGATTATGGTTTACTAACAAACGAGCTTTGCAGCGCGTCGCTTTCATCCTAGACCAGGATTTATTNGCGACTTACGAAGTCGATTACCTGGGTGTTGCTTGCGATTTCTTCAGTTTGGCAGCTCATTTTCCACGGTTGCGACTCCCATCTTTGACCACCACATGCCCAAAGGTAGACGAGCTCAATAATCATAGGGCGGCAGCCGTGCTGACGGCCAGCATCATATAGATGGCCAATCCGAAAGAACTAGCGTGTCGGAGGCCCTGCTGCTCTTCTGCTGCGTGGTGCCGTGGATTGATGTTGACGTGCCCGACCAAAAAAAACACAACATCTCGCCGCATTTTTTCCAACGGCATTTTGGTGAGGTGGCACACGTCTCTCACACACGTTATTGAGCAGCACCCAAGCACCCAATACCCACGAAGCAGTACGGCGCCGGGAGATGGTATCAAGACAGCCGAACCGAAGGAATCAGCGTTGGAGGTGTTGGTACTGCTGCTGTACCCGTTCTACTGTTTCCGAGTTTTCTATGTGTGATGAAATAAAATTCCCCGGCACCAACAGCAGCAGTTGAAGACGATAACACCACGCAATGTCTAGGACTGAACGCCGCTTCTGCCGGTTGTCCATCTTCACAACAGACCTGGACGTGAGTATGGCAGGTCTTTCTAGCGTTCTCAGTGATGCTACAGTGCCCGCTGTTGCACTTGTCCGATGCTTCTGTCATAAACACGGATCCGTGAAAGTAGCAAGCCCCGAAAAATCCCGGCTCCTTCTTTTCACGTTTCCGGGGAAAAACGCCTCCGTATGTGTTGAAGAAAACACGGTTCCGTGGAATATTCGGTGTTTTTTCGATCGATAAGAAATATCGTAAGAGATAGTTTTGTGTTTTTGCGGAACGTTCTTCTCTCATAAACTTTCGATGCGGTCCTGCAGGAAACTGGCCTTAGTGGTCGAGTAGCTGTCGTTAGCACGTAGCGCAGCGCCGACGATTTCTTGGGACAGGATGCATGCTGCAGCCCCTGTGAGCTCCCGCGTGTGGGGTTACAAGCTGGTTGTGTGCCGTCTCACTGTTTCTATGTGGCGTCCAGGTCAGGTCTCGTGTTGTCGGTTGTCTATTTTCTCGTGTCTTCGAAGGTGTAGTGCACATTGGCCCCTAATCGTCTGATGTGATTTGTTGAAAAAAGCAGCATTGCTGCTTGTTGCTTCCTTTCGCTCTTGTGTTAAGTGGGCGACGAAGTTGGAAGGGCTTTGTAGCATTGCTCAAAAGCTAGATTGTCTGTTAGGCTCGGTGATGACTTTCCATGATTCACGAGCGCCTGGTTTCGGAGAAATAACTACTACCACCACATCGGTCCAACTTCGTATCTTTTCCGACACAACCATTGGGAAGCGCCAACCTTCCAAGAGTCTTCCACCGGCCATGTCAATAGAAGCGTCCGCAGCTTTCGATCCTCACCGTCATGTAGACTTTGAGCGGTTCACGTTGACTCTTGGAATTGATTCAGTTTTATGCCGGACATACCTGTGAATGGCGCCGGATAGCGGAAATCTCGTACGTAACCATGAGCGTCTGTGACGTCGGTAGTAAATATTTTGCGAGAAACAGCAGCTCAAGAGTCGGCCCACCTTGGAATTTTAGTTTTTTGCTTTTATGAACATTGGCGAAACACAAAGGAAACTAACTCAGTTGCTACAGTGAACCCCCCCCCCCGCGCTAACCAGCCGACTTCGGGCCATGTGCGTTTCATTGGTGTGGATGCATTTACTTTGGACCGAACTGATTTTCCGCCTTAACAATATTCCGAATTCTCATGTTCGGACACAAACCCTTTCACGTAGGTGCTGATATTTAAATTACCTGCCGCGTTGCTTCCACAGAATCCGTCTTTTTCGGGTGACGGGCGTCTATCATCATGAGCGGGTGTCCTTCTACGGCGACTGACAAAGCGGTGAGCTGTTCAAGTTTTTTTTTTCAAGGTGTTGAAAGGGGTTAAGTGTGCCATCTCCTTATTGTGAACGAGAGCCACGAGTCCATCTGGGGCTAGTCCAGTCGCGATACCTTCTGCTGAACTTGTGGTCATTGCCAAGGATAAGCGCGCGTCATTCACTTCTTTTGTTGCGCGGCAAATGGCATCCCTGTTGCACACCTGGTACGGGCGCAGTTGTTGAGAGTGCAGGTGAAGTATGTTGAGGCCGAGCCGCTGTATGGGCGGGCCACCGCGATCTGAGAGAAAGCGCGAGGTGCTGACCACCCAACGGTTGCCACCGTGCTCAACAACCGGGCGCGGTTGTTGAGAGCGAATTGGGTCGTGCATTTGTTCCTCCGCAACGTGATCTACGGTAATAGCAATGACAACACCTTCCTCCCTCTTTCCCGTGTATCGCAGGGAAAGTATGACGACGCGGAACCGTTGTACGTAAGAGCTATCGCTATCGGAGAGAAGTCGTTGGGCCCAGAGCATCCAGATCTGGCCGTGTGGCTCAACTACTGGGCGGGGTTGTTGAAGGCACAGGTGAGAGCCGTCAGAATTGTCCAGGAAATTTCTTGTGGTGCAAAAGTAAAGCTGCAGTTGCTCAACAACAGGGCGGGTTGTCGGGCATTTGTTTCTCCGCATTGAAGTATCTACTAGCTTTGACAACACTTCTTCCTGTCGTGCCTATCCTTCATGTTTCAGGGCAAGTACGACCAAGCCGTGCCGCTGTATGACCGTTCCATTGCCATTCGCGAGAAAGTACACGGGCCTGATCATCCTGCGGTGGCATCAGCGCTCCACAACCGGGCGTTGTTGTTGAAGGCACAGGTGAGAGCCGTCAGAATTCTAGAGGAAATATCTTGTGGTACTCAACAGATTTTGTAGGTGCTCAACAACAGGGCGTATTGTTGAGCATGTGTNGCGCTCCACAACCGGGCGTTGTTGTTGAAGGCACAGGTGAGAGCCGTCAGAATTCTAGAGGAAATATCTTGTGGTACTCAACAGATTTTGTAGGTGCTCAACAACAGGGCGTATTGTTGAGCATGTGTTCTTCCGCATTAATATCTACAACTCAACACTGACTCCCTCGCTGTTTTTGGCATACCCCAGGGCAACTACGACGAAGCCGGGAAGTTGTGTGAGCGTTCTCTTGGCATCCGCGAGAAAGCACTAGGGCCTGACCACCGGGACGTGGCCCAGTCGCTCGCGGGGTCGTTGGAGGCACAGGTGAGAGCCGCCAGAAAATTTCAAGGAAGTTTGGTATGGTACCGGATAGACTTCGGGAGTGCCCAACATCAGGGCGAGAGAGCGCGGGCTTTGACAACATTCTTCCTGTCGTGCCTTTCCTTCATGTTCCAGGGCAAGTACGACCAAGCCAGGCTACTGCGTTATAACCGTTCCCTTGCCAAGCGGGCCGAGATGTTCGAGAAAGACGCGGAGGGGTTGAAGGCACAGGTGAGAGCCGTCAGAATTCTAGAGGAAACTTCTTGTGGTACCCAACAGATTTTGTAGGTGCTCAACAACAGGGCGTGTTGTTGAGCATGTGTTATTCCGCATTAATATCTACAACTCAACACTGACTCCCTCGCTGTTTTTGGCATACCCCAGGGCAACTACGACGAAGCCGGGAAGTTGTATGAGCGTTCTCTTGCCATCCGCGAGAAAGCACTAGGGCCTGACCACCCGGACGTGGCCCAGTCGCTCAACAAATGGGCGCTGTTGTTGGAGAGTCAGGTGAGAGCCATACGAATTCCAGGAAGTTTCTTGTGGTACCCGATAGACTCAGGAGTGCTCAACAACAGGGCGTTGTTGTTGAAGGCACAGGTGAGAGCCGTCAGAATTCTAGAGGAAATTTCTTGTGGTACCCAACAGATTTTGTAAGTGCTCACCAACAGGGCGTATTGTTGAGCATTTGTTATTCCGCAATAATATCTACAACTCAACACTGACCCCCTCGCCGTTTTTGGCATACCCCAGGGCAACTACGACGAAGCCGGGAAGTTGTATGAGCGTTCTCTTGCCATCCGCGAGAAAGCACTAGGGCCTGACCACCCGGACGTGGCCCAGTCGCTCAACAACTGGGCGCTGTTGTTGGAGAGTCAGGTGAGAGCCATACGAATTCCAGGAAGTTTCTTGTGGTACCCGATACACTCAGGAGTGCTCAACAACAGGGCGTTGTTGTTGAAGGCACAGGTGAGAGCCGTCAGAATTCTAGAGGAAATTTCTTGTGGTACCCAACAGATTTTGTAGGTGCTCAACAACAGGGCGTATTGTTGAGCATTTGTTCTTCCGCATTAATATCTACAACTCAACACTGACTCCCTCGCTGTTTTTGGCATACCCCAGGGCAAGTACGACGAAGCCGGGAAGTTGTGTGAGCGTTCTCTTGCCATCCGCGAGAAAGCACTAGGGCCTGACCACCCGGACGTGGCCCAGTCGCTCAACAACTGGGCGCTGTTGTTGGAGAGTCAGGTGAGAGCCATACGAATTCCAGGAAGTTTCTTGTGGTACCCGATACACTCAGGAGTGCTCAACAACAGGGCGTTGTTGTTGAAGGCACAGGTAAGAGCCGTCAGAATTCTAGAGGAAATTTCTTGTGGTACCCAACAGATTTTGTAGGTGCTCAACAACAGGGCGTATTGTTGAGCATTTGTTATTCCGCATCAATATCTACAACTCAACACTGACTCCCTCGCTGTTTTTGGTATACCCCAGGGCAACTACGACGAAGCCGGGAAGTTGTATGAGCGTTCTCTTGCCATCCGCGAGAAAGCACTAGGGCCTGACCACCCGGACGTGGCCCAGTCGCTCAACAACTGGGCGCTGTTGTTGGAGGCACAGGTGAGAGCCATACGAATTCCAGGAAGTTTCTTGTGGTACCCGATAGACTCAGAAGCTCTCAACAACAGGGTGTTGTTTTTGAAGGCACAGGTGAAAGCCGTCAGAATTCTAGAGGAAATTTCTTGTGGTACCCAACAGATTTTGTAGGTGCTCAACAACAGGGCGTATTGTTGAGCATTTGTTATTCCGCATCAATATCTACAACTCAACACTGACTCCCTCGCTGTTTTTGGTATACCCCAGGGCAACTACGACGAAGCCGGGAAGTTGTATGAGCGTTCTCTTGCCATCAGCGAGAAAGCACTAGGGCCTGACCACCCGGACGTGGCCCAGTCGCTCAACAACTGGGCGCTGTTGTTGGAGAGTCAGGTGAGAGCCATACGAATTCCAGGAAGTTTCTTGTGGTACCCGATAAACTCAGGAGTGCTCAGCAACAGGGCGTTGTTGTTGAAGGCACAGGTGAGAGCCGTCAGAATTCTAGAGGAAATTTCTTGTGGTACCCAACAGATTTTGTAAGTGCTCACCAACAGGGCGTATTGTTGAGCATTTGTTATTCCGCAATAATATCTACAACTCAACACTGACCCCCTCGCCGTTTTTGGCATACCCCAGGGCAACTACGACGAAGCCGGGAAGTTGTATGAGCGTTCTCTTGCCATCCGCGAGAAAGCACTAGGGCCTGACCACCCGGACGTGGCCCAGTCGCTCAACAATTGGGCGGGGTTGTTGACTAATTGTACCTGTTTTTCGCAATCGACCCCAAAAGCTGTGAACACAATTATGTCGTGCTTTTTCACTCGCCGTCCCGGGCAAGCTTGAGGAAGCGCTAGAGGTGAAGCGAAAAGGTTTTGCTATCGAAGCGAGAGTGCTCCCCCCAGACCACCCGCAGATGGCTGCATCGCCCAACAACCTGGGCGCGGTTGTTGAGCAAATTCTCCTCCGCAGCAATATTTACCGTTGACCACACGCACACTCTCACTTGGTCCCCGCCTCCGTTCAGGGCGAGTACGATGAGGCTGGCCCTCTGTACGTCCGGGTTTTGCAAATCCTGGCTGCAACAGTAGGCCAAAAACACCCCAACTATGCTGCAACGCTCAACAGCAGGGCGGGGTTGTTGAGCATTTGTTCCTCCTCATTGAAGTATCTATTGGCTTTGACAACATTTCTTCCTGTCATGCCTCTCCTTCATGTTTCAGGGCAAGTACGACCAAGCCGGACCGCTGTATGACCGTTCCCTTGCCATTCGCGAAAAAGTATACGGGCCTGATCACCCTGCGGTGGCAACAGCGCTCAACAACCGGGCGCTGTTGTTGTATGGTCAGGTGGGAGCCATCAGAAAATTTCAGGAAATTTTTTGTGGTACCCGATAGACTCAGGAATGCTCAACGACGCGGCGGAGTTCTTGAGCATTTGTTCCTTTGCTTTTCTTATTTCAACTTGGCACTTAAAGAACGACTCTATGACGCTGCCCACCTTCGTCCAGGGCGAGTACGCGGAAGGTGAACCTCAATATGCGCGCGCCACTTATATTTGGGAGAAAGCGTTGGGTCCCGCGCACCCACAAGTGGCAACAGCGCTCAACAACCGGGCGCTGTTGTTGGAGAGTCAGGTGAGAGCCATACGAATTCCAGGAAGTTTCTTGTGGTACCCGATAGACTCAGGAGTGCTCAACAACAGGGCGTTGTTGTTGAAGGCACAGGTAAGAGCCGTCAGAATTCTAGAGGAAACTTCTTGTGGTACCCAACAGATTTTGTAGGTGCTCACCAACAGGGCGTATTGTTGAGCATGTGTTATTCCGCATTAATATCTACAACTCAACACTGACTCCCTCGCTGTTTTTGGCATACCCCAGGGCAACTACGACGAAGCCGGGGAGTTGTATGAGCGTTCTCTTGCCATCCGCAAGACAGCAGCACTAGGGCCTTACCACCCGGACGTGGCCCAGTGGCTCAACAACTGGGCGCTGTTGTTGGAGAGTCAGGTGAGAGCCATACGAATTCCAGGAAGTTTCTTGCGGTACCCGATACAAGTAGACTCAGGAGTGCTCAACAACAGGGCGGGGTTGTTGAGCATTTCTTCCTCCGCATTGAAGTATCTATTGGCTTTGACAACACTTCTTCCTGTCGTGCCTCTCCTTCATGTTTCAGGGCAAGTACGACCAAGCTGGTCCGCTTTATGATCGTTCCCTTGCCATTCGCGAGAACGTACAAGGGCCTGATCATCCTGCGGTGGCATTAACGCTCAACAACCGGGCGGGGTTGTTGAAGGCACAGGTGAGAGCCCTCAGAATTCTAGATGAAATTTCTTGTGGTACCCAACAGATTTTGTAGGTGCTCAACAACAGGGCGTATTGTTGAGCATTTGTTATTCCGCATCAATATCTACAACTCAACACTGACTCCCTCGCTGTTTTTGGTATACCCCAGGGCAACTACGACGAAGCCGGGAAGTTGTATGAGCGTTCTCTTGCCATCCGCGAGAAAGCACTAGGGCCTGACCACCCGGACGTGGCCCAGTCGCTCAACAACTGGGCGCTGTTGTTGGAGAGTCAGGTGAGAGCCATACGAATTCCAGGAAGTTTCTTGTGGTACCCGATAGACTCAGGAGTGCTCAACAACAGGGCGTTGTTGTTGAAGGCACAGGTAAGAGCCGTCAGAATTCTAGAGGAAATTTCTTGTGGTACCCAACAGATTTTGTAGGTGCTCAACAACAGGGCGTATTGTTGAGCATTTGTTCTTCCGCATTAATATCTACAACTCAACACTGACTCCCTCGCTGTTTTTGGCATACCCCAGGGCAAGTACGACGAAGCCGGGAAGTTGTATGAGCGTTCTCTTGCCATCCGCGAGAAAGCACTAGGGCCTGACCACCCGGACGTGGCCCAGTCGCTCAACAACTGGGCGGTGTTGTTGGAGAGTCAGGTGAGAGCCATACGAATTCCAGGAAGTTTCTTGTGGTACCCGATAGACTCAGGAGTGCTCAACAACAGGGCGTTGTTGTTGAAGGCACAGGTGAGAGCCGTCAGAATTCTAGAGGAAATTTCTTGTGGTACCCAACAGATTTTGTAGGTGCTCAACAACAGGGCGTATTGTTGAGCATTTGTTATTCCGCATTAATACCTACGACTCAGCACTGACTCCCTCGCTGTTTTTGGCATACCCCAGGGCAACTACGACGAAGCCGGGAAGTTGTATGAGCGTTCTCTTGCCATCCGCGAGAAAGCACTAGGGCCTGACCACCCGGACGTGGCCCAGTCGCTCAACAACTGGGCGCTGTTGTTGGAGAGTCAGGTGAGAGCCATACGAATTCCAGGAAGTTTCTTGTGGTACCCGATACAAGTAAACTCAGGAGTGCTCAACAACAGGGCGTTGAAGTATCTATTGGCTTTGACAACACTTCTTCCTGTCGTGCCTCTCCTTCATGTTTCAGGGCAAGTACGACCAAGCTGGTCCGCTTTATGATCGTTCCCTTGCCATTCGCGAGAAAGTACAAGGGCCTGATCATCCTGCGGTGGCATTAACGCTCAACAACCGGGCGGGGTTGTTGAAGGCACAGGTGA